AGTGTTCATATACTGCCATGCTTATCTTGAAGCTGCATTCTGTGAACAGAGGGCCAAAGCTGGCTTCTGGAAGATTTATAGGGTCACAGGATAAATGTGTCTCAACACCCTAGACAAGAGTACCCAAAAGCTAGCTAGCAGATTCTTTTGACAAGAGGAGAAAACACAATGGAAGGTGAAAGGTCTGTTGTCCACAAAGGTCTAAACACTGTCTGAAGTAGTACTCCCTGTCATCATCCTATTCTTTTCAAGAAACACAGACCCAGCTCTTGCCTGCATTTTTAGAGCAACAAACTGGAATTTCAATCAGATGTAGCCCACTTGATATTTCAAAGCACTGTAGCAAAGCAAGAAAGGATGGAGTGAGAAGAATTACCAGAAAGTAGATGTCATTGCTACTAGTGGCGAAGTCGCGTCTGACCCATCATGACCACATGGACAACATTCGTCCAGGCCTTCCTGCCCTCCACCATCCCCCAGAGTCCACTTAAGCTCACACCAACTGCTTCTGTGACTCTATCTAGCCACCTCATTCTCTGCCGTCCCCTTCTTCTTTTACCGTCAATTGTTCCCAGCATTAGGGTCTTCTCCAGTCAGTCCTTCCTTCTCATTAGGTGACCAAAGTATTTGAGTTTCATCTTCTGTATCTGGCCTTCTAAAGAGCAGTCAGGGTTGATCTCCTGAGACTGACTGGTTTGATCTCCTTGCAGTCCAAGGGACTCGCAGGAGTTTCCTCCAGCACCACAATGCAAAGGCCTCAATTCTTCATCACTCAGCCTTCCTTATGGTCCAGCTTTCACAGCCATACATTGCACCTGGGAAAACCATAGCCTTGACTATACGCACTTTTGTTGGCAGGGTGATGTCTCTGCTTTTTAGTATGCAAGCTTTGTTGTTGCTCAGACTTCCTAAGGCCCATTTGACTTCACATTTCAGGATGTCTGGCTCGAGGTCAGTGACCACCCCATCGTGGTTATCAGGGACGTTAAGCTCTTTCTTGTATAGTTCTTCTGTGTAATCTTGTCACCTCTTCTTGATCTCTTCTGCCTCTGTTAGGTCCCTGCCATTTTGGTCCTTTATCATGCCCATCTTTGCATGAAACTTTCCCTTCATATCTCCAATTTTCTTGAAGAGATCTCTAGTCTTCCCTTTTCTATTGTTTTCTTCTATTTCTTTGCACTGCTCATTGAAGAAGGCTTTCTTATCTCTTCTAGCTATTCTCTGAAATTCTGCATTCAATTGGGTGTATCTTTCCCTTTCAGCCTTGCCTTTTGCTTCCCTTCTTTCCTCAGCTATTTGCAAAGCTTCCTCAGAGAGCCATTTTGCTTTCTTGCATTTCTTTTTCTTTGGGATAGTTTTAGATGCTACCTCTTGTACACTGTTATGAACCTCCATCCATAGTTCTTCAGGCACTCTGTCTATCAGATCTAATTTCTTAAATTTGTCACCTCTACTGTATATTCATCAGGAATATGATTTAGGTCATATCTGAGTGGCCTAGTGCTTTTCCCTACTTTCTTCAATTGAAGCCTGAATTTTGCAACCAGAAGCTCATGATCTGAGCCACAGTCAGCTTCTGGTCTAGTTTTTACTGACTGTATAGAGCTTCTCCATCTTTGGCTGCAGAGCACATAGTCCATCTGATTTCTGTGTTGATCCTCTGGTGATGTCCATGTGTTGAGTCGTCTCTTGGGTTGTTGGAAAAGAGTTTTTGCTATGACCAGCGTGTTCTCTTGACAAAATTCTGCCCGCCTTTGCCCTGCTTCATTTTGTACTCCAAGGCCAAACTTGCCTGTTATTCCAGTTATCTGTTGGCTTCCTGCTTTAGCATTTCAATCTCCCATGATGATGAGGACATCATTTTTGGTGCTATTTCTAGAAGAAAAAGGTGTTGTAGGCTTTCATAGTACCGGTCAACTTCAGCCTCTTCAGCATCAGTGGTTGGGGCTATTGGACTATTCTGATGTTGAATGGTTAGCCTTGGATTCAAACTGAGATTGTATCCCAATACTGCTTTTCCTATTCTTTTATTGACTATGAAGTCTACTCCATTTCTTCTGAGGAATTCTTGTGTTCAATAGTATACCTGATGGTCATCTGAATTAAATTCACCCATTCCTGTTCATTTTAGTTCGCTGATTCCCAAGATGTCGATGTTCAGTCTTGTCATCTCATGTTTGACCAAGTCCAGCTTTCCTTGATTAACAGATCTTGCATTCCAGGTTCCTATGGAGTATAGATCTTCACAGCATCGGACTTTCCTTTCATTGCCAGATACATCTGCAACTGAGTGTCCTTTCGGCTTTGACCCTGTCGCTTCATTCTTTCTGGTGCTACTAGTACGAGCCCTCTGCTCTTCCCCAGTAGCACAATGGACACCTTCCGACCTGAGGGGCTCATCTTCCGGCATCGTTTTGCCCTTTAGAACTGTCCATGGGGTTTTCATGACAATGATACTGGAGTGGGTTGCCATTTTCTTCTCCAGTTGAACACCTTTTGTCAAAGCTTTCTGCTATGATCTGACCTTCTTGGGTGCCCCTGCACGGCATAGCTCATAGCTTCATCGCGCTATTCAAGTCCCTACGCCACAGCAAGGCAGTGATCCATGAAGGAGGGTTTTGGTTTGGGGCCCACTAAATCTTTGCAATATCTAATTTAAAAAGTCCAGACTACTGGAGGAGAAGAGTTCTAGGAGAGGGGAATAACTGTTCCTGTTTAATACATGAAGGGTATTATGTAATAGCTGCTCTGGTCAACTTTAAGGGTTATGAAGAAATGGGGCATGTAGAATTCAACTCAATTTCAGGCACTACACACCAGGATTTGAGTGCTGTCCAAAAAGATAGCAGCAGTTCAGAGCAGGTGATGATGAGGAGAAGAAAGAATCAGGCACACCATGATTGAACCAAAGATTGCAGAACTACAAATACTACCTTTAAAAGAAAAAAAAATGAAGTTATAATGAAAGGTGTTCAGTTGAGCCCATCAGATGGTAAGGACTTGGGTTCAGTAATGCCCTGAAAGTTAACTAGTCAATGAAATGCCTGTAACTCCATGGTCTCTGATAAACATTGCCCTTAGCATGACTCACGAGGGCTTAAATATATGCATGTGCAGTTTGCCTGTCTTGTTTAAGCAGTGAACAAGCAGAGCACTGTAGGATTCCTGGAGGTAATGAATGCCACTACTGACTGCCATCTAGAAAATATAGGGCCTCCTAAATATGTTTGTGCTCTCTAATTTCATCCTCAAATCACAGATGTATAGTTCTTTATTTTCAGTCACAGTGAGTTTTGGTGTAACTGTTTACTTCTTTTTTTCTCGGTGGTCATGATTATATAAACCGCCAACATGTCTTTTTTCTATCCTTAGAAGTTCTGTTTTTTAAACTTATTTCTATGTATAATGAGGTTTGGACATTATTTTGTGCTCAGATCATTGCCCATTAATCAGCATCCATTGTTAATGGGAAAAAACAAAGCTGTAAGGAAGATTTGAATAAAAAGACAACATAGATTGTAAAAAAATGGTAACCTTTAACACACAATGTGCATGAGCTTGGAAAATAAGCTGGAGTCAGAGAGACTTGTGAATTATAGTTTTTTTGTATTAATTTATCTGACAAAAATGGCTATTAAAAAAAGCAGCAATGCAGGGTTAATCTAACCCAATTCTCATTCATTTCAATAGGTCTAAGTCAGACTAACATTAGATACAACTCTGTATTTAAAAATGCACGATTTTTGGTTAATTATTCAGTTACTCTGTACACCTGATTTATCAGGATTGTGGTTATTTGATCACACATGATTAGAGCATAAATCTTAAAGCAGTTTGACTTTTTTAAAGGGGGTTGGTCCCTGCATCTCTTTTGTCTCTTTGATGAGTATTCATCCACACATTGCTTCAGGAAAGTAGTATGGTAAGTAAGATAGAAAAGTAATGCACAAAGAAACACCAAATCCATATATACTTATCTGAACCCCAAGGTCATCAGCAAAGGTCCTTCTTTGGGATCCTACTATGAAGCACATTAAGAGAGTGACTACCCAGAGAAGGGACTTTTCCACTATGACACCTTGGTTGTGAAACCAGCTTTTTAGACAGGTGTGCCTGGTGCTGAAACTATACAACTTTTGGTGCCGGGTCAAACCCTTTTTATTTTCACAGTTTTTCAATTGGTAAAATTTTATATTTTTAGTGTGCTTATTTTATACAATACTGGGGTTATTTGTTTGTTTAATCTGTTTTGATTCAATTAATATTATAATTATTTCTACTAGATTATGCCTTGCTTTTATATCTTTTCTAATTAATGTGATTTTTATTGGTTTTACTTTGTCATTGTCTAAATGTGTGTTATGTTTTTAAAATTTTAATATAGTGTAAACTGTCTTGAGAGTCATTGACTAAATAGGAATGGTATAGAAATGTTTTAAATAAATTAAAATAAACAGTAAATAAAATAAAAGCAGTTACAACCTTCTTATCAGTAGTTTCCTTCTTAGCAGCTCACATGAAGCTGAAATTGATATAGTCCCTTCCACAACCAACATCAGCAGTTCAGGAAAAAGAAAGATCTGTGTGTGTACGTCTGTTTGAGAGTGAAAGAGGATGGGGGAAGTATCTATTTCATTTATTTCTGGGGATTTTGCCTTGCTTTCTTCCTAACTATCAGGATGCCAAGTGTACATTTTGAGGTCCAGTGTGTATTCTTTATTTTCCCTTTACTGTCTAAAGAATCATGAAAGACACATTTGAGATAAACCAGATGAATCCAAATTCTGGGAGACAACTGAATTCTTCCAAAGTTTGAGTCCACTCTCTTGAAATCATGCAAATTCCTTGAACAACTAAATTGTCTTCCAAACTCAGGGAATTCTGCAGACCCCTAACCTTTCTCTTTCTTTCCGCTATGACAGCAGAATGGATAGGTTGTTGCTCAGTACATTGTGACTGCGCTAGCATGAAGTTTTAAGATGCTCATTTGTATGCTTCAGATTCGTAGCAGAGGATGTGGGAATGGATATCACCTTTGATGAGACTATGCTAGGCTCCAGCACTGCAGAGATGAGACCAGGTAAGACTTCCTTTTATTTATCTTTGTGATTCTTGCTCTTTTCCTAAGTATTTCATTATTCATTGAGGAGTATATTTTCTTTGCTTCTGCAACATTATTCCAGTGCTAGAAAAAGGTGTTAACTGTGCTTTATTTAGTTAATTCCATGGTTCTCTTGACAAATGATCATCATTTGCGGCATACCACTTTCTCCTGCACTGTGGTGTCATCAGGCTGCAAATGAACTGAGCTCATGTGATAATGAGCTACCCTGCACTTCCTTGCTAAATTTGTCTGCAGCCTATATGAGGTTGGATCCCAGATTAAGATGCATCATTTAAATCAGTGCAGTTCAAATTGCTGCTCAAGCTATCTCAGTTAGGAAATAAGCCTTTGACATATGAGTCCCTACTCCTCAGGCCATTTACTACACACATAATATAGATCTAGGGTGGATCTAGAGCATAGGGAGAGTAGTGTTAAGAAGAGAAGGAGAGCCTTTCGCTCTCCTGTTTCCAGAATGGCCAAGAAGATGCCTATGGGAAGCCCACAGGAAGGATATGAAAGACAGTAGCAACTTCCCACTAATGTTCTTCAGCCACTGGTGTTGAAGTGCATCCTGTCTCTGAACCTGGAAATCCTAAAGCCATCATGACTAGCAGCCACCGATAGACTGAAAATATATTTATACTCCAGGAAAATACCATTTCCCCCAGAAGCTCTATTGTGAGTAAAAGCCAGCCTTATCTTTACCAGCTGACTTGTGTTTTTTTGAGGGAAGAGGAGTTGATGCCTTTTCTGGTTCATCACTAATCACAGACACCAGTTCTTCTCAGTAGCCTGATGGCTAGATTCTCCCCTGACTGAAGTTGCAAACTTCATATATGATTTACAACCACAATACTGTTTTGTCAAGTGATACCATTCTCTGCCTAACTTGGCTTGTATTCAGTTAAGTCTTCCTGCTAATGGAACAAGGAAGGTGCATGTTCCACTCTGCCCTGTAGCTTCCTGCACCCCTCAAAATCTGCTCTGGATGACTGGGGACCCCTCTAGAGCTCACTGGGAGTGTGGGGGCTGTAAGGCACAAGAGAAGGAGAGGGACGCATGATGAGAGCAGACTTCCACTTCAGTGTTGGATTTCACCATATTTTATGGATTTTTTCCTAAAATTTGGGTGGGTTTTGGTGAGCTAAATATTAGAGTTTGTTGGCTGGTACGGAGATATTTAAATGCGATTTAGTGTAATAGGGTTGTTTTCATTTAAAACAGAGGCTTTTTTATCTTCATACTTATTTAGAACCTCCCAATTCTTTAGATCTTAATGACTCCCATCCAAGAAGAATAAAACTCACTGCTCCAAATATCAACCTCTCTTTGGACCAGAGTGAAGGATCTGTTCTCTCTGATGATAACCTGGACACTCCAGATGAAATTGACATCAATGTAGATGACCTTGACACACCAGATGAAGCAGACTCTTTTGAATATGCTGGACATGGTAAGAAATTAGGGAATTGGGAAGGTAAAATAGCATTATAATGATGTAAAATGTGTGCTTTCTGCACTAGGCATAATATTAGATGGAAAAGGAGGCTAGCCTAACCACCCTGTGGAAAGCCTGTGTGGCGTTGTGGTTAAAGTGTGGGACTAGGATCCAGGTGAACTGAATTTTAGTCCATACTTGGCCATAAAGCCAAGCAAGGATTAGTAAGAAAAGATGGTAGACAAGATCGTAGATCACAAAAAGAGGGAGGACTAGGTATTCTGAATATTGAATTATATCATGGAGCAAATTGATTAAGATCTATACCAAATATTATTTTGCAGCCAGATGAGATAATATGGGCAGAGATGAAATAACAGGAAATTGAGGGATCTTTTCTAAACATTCTTTTTAAACAATTAATTGAATGGTATAAAGAAGTTTGGATTATAGCTGTTAATGACAAGATGACATGTTATTTATTTATTTATTTTTCAATTTATATCCTGCCTTTTTCCTACAAAGGGCTCAAGGCAGCTTACATCATTCTCCTCTTCCATCTTATCCCCACAACAACAACCCTGTGAGGTAGGCTGGGCTGAGAGTCTGTGACTGGCCCAAAGTCACCCAGTTGGCTCTATGGCTGAGTGGGGACTAGAACCCAGATCGTCTGAGTCCCAGTCCCATGCTCTTAACCACTATGCCACACTGGCTCTCATATCATGTTAGTCCAAATGAAATATAATGAAGGCATAAGTTCTATGACCAGATCAGACATCTTCAGGAACAGGTGCAGTTGATGCATTAGCCTCCGCTCTGCAAACACATTTCTAGCTTGTTCATTCAGGTTCAGAGCCTAATCTAGGACTGTACATAAACTGTGGGCCTTTTGGTGGTAGTATAACTCCAGCATAAGCTGAGTCCCTATTCCCTACTCTGCCTTTCAGGTAAGCAAGAGCGTCCCCACCTTGTTTGAATTAAGATCCAATAAACAGATTCCTTGGATTTAGATGGAAAGGAGAGAGAGAGCTGGGAGTTATCAGTGGTACTGAATACCAAAATTCTGGGCAGTCTCTCCCAACAGTTTCATGTACATATTGAACAGCATGGGGATAAGGTAGAACTCTGACTGCACCACAGTCCAGTGGCTGTGTTACTTAATCAGAATCCTTCAGGAACATTTTTTTGAAATCGCCTCTCCAAGCTGAATCAGAACCACCTTATACTAGTACCTCTCAGTTCCATCTGAGACCAACACCTCAGAAGGAACCCATAATTGATAGTATTGAAAGCTGCTGAGAGGTCCAGCAGAACCATTTAAACCATTTTTAAATTTTAAATTTTTAAACCATTGTTTAAAAAAAATGTTTAGAAAAGATCCCTCAATTTCCTGTTATTTCATCTCTGCCCATATTATCTCATCTGGCTGCAAAATAATATTTGGTATATATCTTAAATCAATTTGCTCAATCTTATCCCCACAACAACAACCCTGTGAGATAGGTTGGGCTGAGAGTCTGTGACTGGCCCAAAGTCACCCAGTTCGCTCCATGGCCAAGCGGGGACTAGAACCCAGATAGCCTGAGTCCCAGTCCCATGCTCTTAACCACTACACCACACTGGGTCTCAGAAAGGTAAGATAAAGGTGAATAAAGGATAAAAAAGATGAATGATTTCAACAATATATGGGGTATGTTTATTGAACATGTATAATAAAAGGGGAGGATGAAGGTTGTTTTGCAATTTTGGATGGAAGGGGGTAACTCAGAAATAGGATAAAAATGAAGAAAAAATGCTAGGCAGTCATGGTCCTGGTGGAGGGGTGATATCTGGTTGTTGTTATTTTTTTTATTTTACTTTGTGTATTGTGTGGTTTTTCTTTATTATTTGATCTTTGCATTTATATTTGTATCTTATAAAAATAATAACTCAAAAGAAATTGTAAAGGCCATGAAGCTCACTGGGTGACTTTGAGCCAGTCACAGACTCTCAGCCCAACCTAGCTCACAGGCTTGCTATTGTGAGGATAAAATGGAGCTATGTAAGCCACCTTGGGTTCCTCACAAAAGGAAAAAAAGTGGGTTATAAATGTAACAACAACAACTAAGGTGTTGCCACGCAAAAGGTCCTGTTACAAGTGCTCACCAACTTCATCTCTCTAAGAGGTGCGACACATAAGAGGGCTTCTGATGACAAGCACAGATTTCAGAATAGCTCATGTGAGGAGGAGTTACGTTTAGGAGATACCTGTTGGACTAGTTTCATTAATATTTTATATTTGTACAAGCATTAACTAAAGAAAATTGCACATCAACTGTGCACTTTATCAGTTTTGAACAAGTTTTACTTAAGAGACTCAGCAACAAATGGGATTTTAAAAAAGTTGCTTTGTTTCAATGCTCCTGTTCTTTGTTCTTGCCAGTAACTATGCCTTCTTCCATGACACATTATTCCATTTCTCCCACCCAGTTTTCCTCCCCTTGCAGTGGTCAGTCAGCATTCCGTAAATACTGAGCAGGCCTCCTTGGGCTGTTTTGAGGTCTCCCCACCCTTACAGCTCTTCCTAAATATTTTGCTTCTCCTGCAAATGTTTGCGTTCCTCCAAGTCTACTGATGCTAATTTTCTCTTGTGTGAGAGTGGTGTCACTTTAGCTCTGTAGGCACTCATTTTAGCACTCATTTTTGAACATCAGAAATTCTGGGGTGGGGGTGGGAATCCATTAGATTCCTTGGGCTTAGCTCCCTGAATTCTGGTCCAAATTTGCAGTGGCCTTGAGCTCGAGTTCCTAGTGAGTGTGCCTAGGAAGAGTCAGGAAATAACTGCACACATACATATATACAAATGGTCATTTTATCAATTTTGCTTTGAAATTGCATTACACTTTTGCCACAAAAGGGAATTTATTCTCAAGTAAATGTGTTTATAATCAGGGTAACAGAAGTGAGCCACATTTTATTCCTGTAGTCATGATATACCTATGATTTAAGTGAACTTAAGATGCATATATTCTGAATTTATTTTTATCCAGGTTTATAAATGGGTTTGTCTATATTTCCCTAATATATCAGGAATGTAGGAGCAGTTATAAAGAGAGTTGTAGAGAGAGAAGGTGCAGTGTGGGGAAGAAAAGAAAAGCTAGTTGTAAACACCCCAAACATATAGCTGTCTAAATTTCCAGGCCCTAAAATACTTAATTTGCTTCACTGATTTAATATAAAACAATGATTAATATTATTGGACTATAAAGTGCTTCTATTTTGAAATATTGTAAAACTATATACAATTAATGCCACTCACACTGGCCCCCGAATGAGAAGCTGGATTTAAAAACTCTTATAGGGAGCATGTGAGAGTGAAAGAGAACCCCTCTAGGTTAGACTCATTCTGATAACACAACACAGGAAGATCTCACGCTCACTATCTAGGTGGGCATAGGGATTACTTGACCTAGTTAATAAATAAAAATGCTATGCTGACTCAGATCAAAGGACTACCTATCTCAGCATCCTGTCTATTGACAGAAAGAAGACAGATGCCTTAGCGAGACCCACAAAGTTTGTACAAAAGCAGCTGTGATTTACAAAACCACATCAGTGATGCAAACTAGCTTAGATTTTTAATTACTATATGTATTTGCTATAGTATAGAGTGGCTTAAAATGTTCCCCATACATTTTCACAGAATTTACTTTTTTTCTTAAGGAACTCTTACATTTGTAAATACATAGTATGTTAAAATTGCATTTAAGTGGAGCTTTTCTAATGCCAAATAGGAATAATACTATAAGAACTGTTAAGGGGAGAACAGAGTTAAACACAGCAGTAAAAACCCTCCTCTTGGCATTGACACAGGCATACATGGCATTAATCCATACCTTTAAGCAAGCATTATCACCTGAAACTAGACAAGGCCAGCCTGTTTTAAAAAGTGCTACGGATAGAACTGGCAGAGGAGACACTGAGCAATCACAGTCACCGTGTCATTTGGTGGTACCTGGCAGCAGAGGCTGCTTGTCAGTGCTTGTATAGTCTGGCACCTTCCTTTTCCATTTTCACATAGTCATAGTCTCTAGTTCATGCATATTCCTTCCTTTTAGTTCTCACTTAGAGGCAGGAAGCCGGTCTTTCTGTCTAATAATTGCTCAAGCCATCTTTGCTTTCCAGGGAGAGTTCATAAAACGACCATCGTTAACCTGGATGTGATGGACTGCAACTCTCCTCATTTCCAGCTGGCATGACAAGGCCCAGATCTCAATGCTGACTACCTTGGTGGACCTAAATGCAGTCCGACACATCCAGTCACCAGCTTAAGGCAGGCCATCCTAAAGTGATAGGCCAATCTCTAGGTCAGAAGGTGGCAGCTGTCTGACACAGGGGTTCTCAAATTGTCTGTTCTCAGGGCCGTCTTGAGAGAACTGTGGGGAACATTTACCACTGGCCTACCATTGTTAAGATAGCCAGGACCACTCTCTCTCTAAGAAAGACCTCCTGGATTTAGCTAGCTGTCCCCTTCTTAGCTGATGTAATTAGCTGTAAGGGACAAGGGAAGGCCAAACACATGTTTGGCAGAACCCTGTCAAACAGTTAGCTCAGAGCCTTAGGCGCCACAAACAGAAACTGGTCCATTTTTCACCAGTCTCTGATAGCCATGTTTTGTCTTTCATCCTTGGGTAGCAGAATGATAAATATAAGTCTGTAGGCAGATGTCCAGGTTGAATAAGGATCACTCTGCTTTTTTTGCCATCTGTTCCCCTGTACAACTGTATGCTTCTGTGGTTTGTTATTGTTGTTAGTCGCGAAGTTGTGTCTGACCCATCACAACCCCTTGGACAACATTCCTCCAGGCCTTCCTGTCCTCCACCATCCCCCAGAGTCCACTGAAGCTCACACCAACTGCTTCAGTGACTCCATCTAGCCACCTCATCCTCTGCCATCCCCTTCTTCTTTTGCCATCTATTGTTCCCAGTATTAGGCTCTTCTCCAGGGAGTCCTTCCTTCTCATTAGGTGGCCAAAG